TAGGGTACCTGCCTAACTTATTACCTTCTTTGCTCACTACTATATCCCAAAAAGGCAAGTAATATACCTTTTCTAATTCCATATTAAGCATAATATTGACATCTATTATGTCTGTAACCAGACGAGATTTACCCAATCTTTCTATGCCGTGTTGTCAAGCAGCCAAGTAATCGTCCCTATACCAAAGTAATTCATTTTTGCTCTATTACGTAAATTATGCATTCTTTCTCTGATGATTTGTCACAGTACAGGCGCAAGCTTAGCACACTTTTATCGAGACCGCAAGATGGTGAGCCTAGGTCTTCTTTGCACAATCCAACATTCCCCACTCTGCTTCAATCCTTCATCGGTTTCCGATGAGACTACTTAACGAATTCCTTCAAATTTACGTTTTCTTCGGCACGAAAACTCAGGTCACAACATATCACTAAGTTTTTCTTCTTAGCACTAAGCTATATCCTCTTGTGAACAATAATCTTATGACTTATTTACTTAAATCTTGAAGCTATAAGATGTTGGAGCAAGGGCACAAATACTTGCCTATAATAGAATTATGTATAAATTATCCATTTTTTCACTTACGTTTTCTTAGACATCTTTATTAAAATGCTGTTTTTCTACTTTTTTCCTAATTCTGCTGTGCCATGGTCTACAGCACTGGTACTCAGTCGAGCAAGCAGACGAAGGTTTGTCTCTGAACGAATCTCTAGTACCTCCTACCCCCTATTCCTCCGCTAGCCCTCAATGTACAGAATACAGCATGACGACCAGCCTTAATAAGTTGCTAGCGTGGCAGGACCAACCAGTAACTGAAAGTGGAGATGTACGTGTGGGCGTCGAGCGGTGGTTGTTTCCTACTGAAGGGATAGGTTCAAGCAATCCGATGATAAACCGAGTAGGTCTGTCTAGCTGGCCCTCTCAAACTATAGAATCAAATAGTCTCAAGGTCAAGGGAATGACGGCCACCGTACCCTGCGGGTCAGGGGAGCAGAGACGACAAGAATCATGCTCCTGGCGCACCCGAATAGTGACTGAGGCTCAATCGGAGTTCGCAAACGCAGTCACCTCCTTCGGTCGATCGCCTAATCAAGCCTCGATATCCCCTCCTGAGCAGAACATAAGACAGGTTTCTCTTCTAAATGATGCGTCTTCACCGTCTCTTACTTTACCAATGCCTGAATGTGAATCTTCTCTTGCATTAGCTGATTCGTCTGACTCACGTGGACAACAGTTAGATTCCATCGACAACGGTGTCAACTTGAGGATCGAAGAGAATGGAAAGGAGAATAAATCATGTGTATTGAGAAAAAATGCTGTTTCATCAATTATCCCGTCAGCATTGCCCGAGCCCAGACGCTGTACTCCTCTTCCCAATATGCCATCTGAACAAAAAATTAATTCACTCTTGAAGGAAAGTCAAGTGCAAGAAAATTAGAAATTGAAGCTATGTCAGTTGGCTAGTCAACTAGTCGACTAGCTCCATATGGGCTTTTTGATTTCATATTCTATGAGTAAAAATTTGAATACTCTTTTGATCCTTCATAAATGGATGCATGCTATTCTATAATAAGCATTTACATTTACAAGTTATGTAAAAAAAATAAAGATGCTCTGTGAAATTTAAATTAACTTTACTTAGTTTTGGCATTTTATCAGAATAATTTAGTAGACACGTAAATCGTCGAATAAATCAACATGTTAATCAGGCTTAATGAGATTCTGACCAAGAAAAATTATTTTTGCTAAATTATATCTTTTTGCTCTGATAATGTCTGTGGGTTAACCGTCATGCTAATATCATAGGATAAAGAACCTAGAATTTCTTTGCGTAAAGACATAATAACAACTCTAAGAGAAGTATCTTCTGGCTTCATCATATCAATTTTACCCAAGCTTAACTTCTTTACGACAGACCCAATGGCGCGGAAGTAGTGGCTGAATTATTTAAGCCCAGCCTTTGATCCATTGAGCTTTCCGTGAAAACATAGCTAGATTCACAAAAAATGCAATGAGATAGGAAGCAGCCAAATTGAATAAAATTAAACCCGACACGAGGGATTTTGAAACTAGCAAATGATTTATCCTTCAGTTGTATTCATCACGAAAAAATAAAATATGTTAGAATATATAAAACCTTCATAGATTTTTCTGAAATACTACCTAATTATTGAGCATAGTGTATGTAACTAGCTTCAAATTACTTGATATGTCATTTTCTACATAGCTACCTAGCTGATTGCAAACTAATTTTTTGTTAAGTCTACATGAAACATTAAATTATTCAATACGCTTTACATTTATCTTTAGTAGATCAATCCCATATCCGCCATCGTACTACGCAACGGATCTACAACTCACAAGTGAGTTAAAGTTCAAAAATACTTTTTCATAAGGAAGATTTCTTTTTTGAATATATGCGTTTTTTAGTAATATATTTATTACTCATAACCTTGTACTAGTTTTATCATAAATGAATTCCATTTTTTATTTATTCAAAAATTAGGTTTTATAATTTACCTTTTTAAACAGCAAATCTTAAACTATCCTACTTTCAGATAAACAAAGCGTCTCGTCAAATATTTCAATAATGCTTTGGTTTAAAACTAGCCTTAGATATAATAAGTAAAATTAGCGTTCCTAATGATCTATAATAGAGCCTTAGTTGATGATATGATATGACACTAGCGACTAAAAATACTTTTAGTGTTTATCACAGACTTACCGCTGATTTTCTATGTTGGCTCAGGCGGGTTTGATTTTACAGCTCCCTCTCACGAACGTAGATTAGCATAGTAGTTTGCAAGAAAGTTATGAACAGATAAGCAAGGTTTATATAAAAAAAGGACATTCCGCGTTATGCACGAATTTTTAGCTTTACTCAGAGCCTAGGGTTTAAGAATCCCTTCTTTATGAATATTTAATTTGATATCTGTAATGAATAAACAGAAAAATAAATAGAAAAAAGGAATGAAAAACACGCTATTTAAAAGCCAGAGCCGTAGTCGTAGAGTTATTTAAATGCAAACTTCCTGAATCGAGTTAAAAAAAATTATTTGTCATGAATGAGAAAACATATGAAACTTCACCCGAAATGGCCTTGGTGAAATATATAATTGGTGGTCTTTTAATCAGTTGGTTAAAAATATGTCGGTCTGCAAAAGCCTCCTCCTTTAAAGTCTGCCACTTGAATCTAAAAATTAGGGCATTAACGTGATTTGTAGGGTTTCGTTATATTTAGGTTGTTTGATATTTTTTTCGCAACATGTTCATATTGGTAGGAAGACTTATTGGAACGCACCTAGTCCGGGGTCCATTGTTTGCATGATCATTTCCAAA